AGCTAGAAATCAAATGGGGACAGAAAATTGCAGTTTGTGGCCCAGTTGGTGCTGGAAAATCATCTCTTCTGTATGCAGTACTTGGAGAGATTCCCAAGATCTCAGGAACTGTGAGTTATTAATCAAACAAATACGGTTTTTTGTCAAGCCAAATTCATTAATAACCTTTGTATACAACACTTTTTTCTCCCTAAAATTTCACAATAATGGCAAACAGGTTAATGTTGGTGGAACCATAGCCTATGTTTCTCAAACTTCTTGGATACAAAGTGGGACCGTTCGAGATAACATACTCTTCGGAAAGCCAATGAACAAAACCAGATATGAGAATGCCACTAAAGTTTGCGCCTTAGACATGGATATTAATGATTTTAGCCATGGTGATCTTACCGAAATAGGCCAGCGAGGCATTAACATGAGTGGAGGACAAAGGCAAAGGATTCAACTAGCTCGAGCAGTTTATAATGATGCTGACATCTATCTCCTTGATGACCCATTCAGTGCAGTTGATGCACAAACAGCCGCAATTTTGTTCCATGTATGAAAATAACACTTATATATTGTTAATTATAGTAAAACTATTGTCTTACTCGTGATTTTGGTGAATCAAAGTAACTGCTGCATCTACAAATTACAGGACTGTGTCATGACTGCTTTAAGAGAGAAAACTGTCATTCTAGTTACTCATCAAGTGGAGTTTCTCACAGAAGTTGATACGATCCTGGTAAAGCATCTCATTTGGGTTCCTATTTTTTTTTTCCTTATATTACATTAGTAAATAACAATATTATAATGAAAATTCTAGGTAATGGAGGATGGAAAAGTTACTCAATCAGGTAGTTATGAAGATCTCCAGTCAGCTGGCACTGCCTTTGAACAGCTTGTGAGTGCCCATAAAGCTGCATTAACAGGATTGGATAAAAAATATGAAAATAGTAGTGATTCTGGTATTGAATTTCTGGTACATCCAGAAGAATCTCAAAGTTTTAATCTCACTCAAAATCAAAGTGAGGAAGTGATTTCTACCAAGGGACAACTTGGGGCACAACTTACACAAGAAGAAGAAACAGTGACTGGTGATGTTGGGTGGAAACAATTCTGGGAATATATTTCCTTTTCAAGGAGCTCATTCGTGTTTTGCTTAACCATGTTAGCAGAATTTGCTTTTCTGGCTTTGCAGACTGCCTCATCCTATTGGCTTGCTCTAGCTTTTGAAATTCCAAAAGTAACCAGTGGCATTTTGATAGGAGTTTATGCATCATTTTCATTTCTCAGTGCTATATTTATATATATACGGTCTTTCCTAGCTGCTCATCTTGGATTAAAAGCTTCTGAAGCCTTCTTCTCAAGTTTCACATCAGCTATCTTCAATGCTCCAATGTTGTTCTTTGACTCAACGCCTGTAGGAAGGATTTTAACCCGAGTAAGGCTTCTTCCTTCTAAATTGTATTAACATATATATTTCAATCTGTTCATTACAATAAGTAACTCCCTGTCATCTTTTCTCTATCAGGCTTCATCTGATTTAAGTATTTTGGACATTGATATTCCTTATTCTCTCACTATGGTAGCATTTATAGCAGCTGAAATTCTAGTAATAATATGTGTAATAGTATCAATCACATGGCAAGTTCTTATCGTTGCTGTTCCGGCTACAGTGGCATCAATATACATTCAGGTTTCTTCACTTCCTAATTTTTATTTGGTAGAATTTTATTGCCTTATTAAAATCTTTATATAGAAAACCATAGTTCTAGATAAATACAACCTAGAACAACGCACAAGAAAAGGATCTAGATCATGCTAGATTATCAAGGATTTAAAAATATCTTGACCTATCGTTTTATTGTCTTTCTCAGTTGGATTCTTGTTTCACTTCTTCACAGGGAGAAGGAAAACTGTGTAGAACTTTATATATTGGAGACCATAATCAATGAACTCTTTATATATTAATCTATTAGGGTTCTCATAATCCCCTATTGAACCCCTTATCAATCTTGAATTAATAGTCGATGTATTAAATATGATGCTCACAATAGATGTAAGAAATGTACTAACATTATTAACTTCCCATTCTCGATTCCTAATTAGGTCATGGATCTAGCAACTTCCTTGCCCTCATATATGTATATATATTTTTTATTTAACTTTGAAAGGGATATTATCAAGCCTCTTCAAGGGAATTGATGAGGATCAATGGAACCACAAAAGCTCCTGTCATGAATTTTGCTGCCGAGACATCACTTGGAGTGGTTACTATAAGAGCATTGAACATGGTGAACAGATTTTTCAACAACTACCTAAAGCTTGTGGACATGGATGCAGCAGTGTTCTTTCACATCAATGTGGCCACGGAATGGTCAATTTTAAGGATTGAAATACTTCAAAACTTGACAGTATTCACAGCAGCTGCATTACTTATTCTACTTCCCAGGGGATCTGTATCATCGGGTAATGATACATAGTACTAATATCATTTACCATGATAAGGTTTCTTTAGGTCGTTAACAAATCATTAATTCTTGACAATTCTCCTGTTGTGTCAGGTCTTGTGGGATTGTCTCTTTCTTATGCGTTGACATTGAAAGAATCCCAAGTATTTTGGAGTAGGATGTATAGCATGTTGTCAGACCATATCATCTCTGCTGAAAGAATCAAGCAATTCATTCACATTCCATCAGAGCCTCCTGCCATTGTGGAGGATAACAGACCTTCATCTTCATGGCCTTCCAAGGGTAGGATCGATCTTCGAGCCCTAGAGGTAAGTGTAGTTGTTAGGTTTCTGGGTATGAAACCTAACTGTCTCACAGCACACACTCACCAATAGCACCCAAATGGTAAGAAAAGAATGAAAATATGTAATCAATGTTAAATTGTCACTTAGGGCTGTAATTGAGGATGTATTATTTTTATCAGAGAATACAACGAAAGAAGGATAGCAGCCATAAGTTCTGACAAGGAATCATAGCTAATAGCACATCTAGGTAAATTATGCGTTGTGGTAGGCTCGCATGTTCTCACAGACATATGTGGAGGGGGAAGTTGGGAAACTTGACATCACCTGCCTCAATTTTTGGAGTGTTACTTATATATTTATTGGAGAATTTCACTTAATATCAATTGGTACTGAAATGGAATCTAGAAATCAATACATTTTAATGGATTTTATTTCGATAAAGTTGTATTGTTGTCCCTTTTCTTTTGAACCTATGCTTGCAGTTTTTTCTTCCTTTCATTTCTGACATTTGGACAGATAACTACAAATCTTATTGTTGTCTTTCCTACGTTGATTTCAGATTAGATATCGTCCAAATTCTCAATTAGTTCTCAAGGGTATAAATTGTACATTTGTAGAAGGTAGTAGAGTGGGAGTTGTTGGGAGGACTGGAAGTGGAAAAACTACACTTATCAGTGCTTTGTTTCGCTTAGTTGAACCTTCAAGAGGTGATATTCTAATAGATGGGATCAACATATGCTTGATGGGGTTAAAGGATTTGAGAACAAAACTAAGCATCATCCCTCAAGAACCAACTCTTTTCAAGGGCAGCATTAGGACCAACTTGGACCCTCTAGGCTTCTATGAAGATGATGAAATATGGAAGGTGAATGGACTAGCTTCGCAGCTGAAACTTCTGTAACTAATAAATCTGCGACCTCTTTCATGAGCAATTTCATTAGAGCAGGTTTGATGAGATTTGATTTGTATATTATTATTTAGGCTTTAGAGAAATGTCAGCTAAAGGACACAGTCGGCAAGCTACCAGGTCTCTTGGACTCTTCTGGTGAGTTAACAGACTTGCAGCCTACAATCTGATATAGCCTTACGCATGCAACTATTCTGCTCTTTCTACATTGAGTAAAGTACAAAGTGACTGAAACTAGGCAGTATGCTTATAACACTAACATTTTCAAACCAATAAACCATAGAAGTTTAATTTTGACAAGTTTTGCAGTGAGTGACGAAGGTGGAAATTGGAGCTTGGGACAGCGCCAACTGTTTTGCCTTGGTAGAGTACTACTTAAGAGGAACAGAATACTTGTCCTAGATGAAGCTACTGCGTCTATTGACTCTGCAACAGATGCCATTCTACAACAAGTGATAAGACAAGAATTTACAGAATGCACAGTCATAACTGTGGCTCACAGAGTTCCAACTGTAATAGATAGTGACATGGTCATGGTCCTGTCTTATGGTATACAAGTTAATTTCTTTTCCTTTTCAAATTTTCAGATATATCACAATTTTATCTAGTCCTTTCTGCTCTCTCATTTTAGTTTGATGGTTACTGTAGGGAAACTAGTGGAATATGACGAGCCTTCAAAACTTATGGGCACCAACTCTTGGTTCTCTAATTTGGTTGCTGAATATTGGTCGAGCTGCAGGAAGAACTCATCGCCTATATCAATTATGAAAATGGAGTGCAAATAAACTGAATGATTATTCAATATTAGATGTGTCTAGATCCTCTTACAAATCCAATGGGAAATAATATAATCTATGAAACTTTTAGACATTATATTAAATGTATGAGCACTCAATTGCATGTCTAGTCTGTGAGACAAATGTAATGTTATTCCTTAAGCTGCAACAGTCAGTCCCCTGACAAGACAAGAAGCTTAATCAATCGCATATTTAGCTAAAATTTCTACACAGAGAAAAGAACTAAATTAATAGAAGCAATACTTATGGATAATAATCTAAAAGCAATTCTTGGAAATATATATATATATATATAGACACACATATATACCAGGAAGTGTTAGTCTTACTTTAGTACATGACGAACTTGTTGAATTGAATATTCCTGAACCAGCTAAACTTCCGGAATTTATTTTCGTTTGACAATTTTTTTAATGGACTTTTCAGTTTTTTTAAATGATTTTTCATTATTATATATCACAACTCCGGTTGCATGTGTGTATAATCATATAACTGTGAACACGAATTATCAAAGAAAAACCGTTGAAAAAAATGCTTAAAAGAAGTTTCAACATTAGCTAGTGTAAAAAAGGTGTCAGGACCTCTAGTCGGAAAAGAAAAAAGATTATTTATATACACTTGAAAGTTAAACCTTGTGACTTATCAACAGCTATAATATTTTGAATCAATCCGTACAAAATACATAAAACCTGAAATTAAATACTAATTAAAATCTCTTACATCATCCATACAAATTTCACTTTCAACAAATATCTATCCTCTTCAACCCAACCCACTTATTTACAGCCAGGAACTTACCTGTGGAATGATTCAAATAAAAATTACATCAAAAGAAAAACCTCAGGAAAAAATCTAAAATGGGGGCTTTGTCTTCATTATTCCATATGGCTCTTTGAGGTCTTCGTAAGCTAAAGCCAAACTCAATCTTTTCTCTTCAAGTTCTTCTAATTGTTTGATTGTGTAAACAACAGAAGTCGACATATACTTCACCAATTCAAGTGTTTCGTCCTTCTTGGTTTGTTTTTCTGAGTATAAAACCTCTTGTGCTGACCTCTCCTTTTCCAAGGCTTCATTTTCTTGTTGAAGCTTATTTATAGCTCCCTGGATTTCTCTCTGTCTCTTTTGGAGGTTTTCAATCTCAGACTTACTAGTTGAGATGGCAGTGTCAAACTGTTGAACTTTCAGTTTAGAATCTTGAAGTTTGTTATACAAGTCTCTCTTCTTAGATGCCAGTTTTATTTGTTTATCCTCGGTTAGCATCTTTTCTTGAGAAATGTTGGCAGCTTTATCGTATAGCTCGATAAATTTGTCTACACCTTCTTGCTCTTTCGTAATTTCTCTACGATAAGCGTGAAGTTTTCGTAGTGATTCTTCAATTTGTTGCCGATAGGATTGGTCTGGAAGTTTGTCTAGCAATGAAGTTGAGAACACTAAGGTTCGGAATTCATCGAGGACGGTTGTAGCATCATTTGCTTGAGCTACCTTTTGAACACAAGTTTCTGATTGTTTCAGAGGAGGGGATAGCTCATTAGAGAGTAAGTCAAGGATTGCAAATGGATTTTCATGCAACTGTTGGAGGCAACTCTCAAGGTCAAAGTACGAGTATTTAGTAACAAATTTCTCTGTATCATAAGTTTGTACAACTTGCTTATTCGATTCTTCTAACCTATCATGCAAGTGCTCAGAGCCCCCCTGGGAAGAGGCTTGAAGAGATGTGCTCTGTAAATGTTCATCGGCCACCTGTGAAATGGGGAAGTCCAAGTTTCACAAAGTCAAATACTTCAATGATAAATACTAGTTATACACTCTCTGATGTATTGTTTTAGGCATACTCTTTATTATTACCTGAAATTTATTAGAGATCTATGTATAGGTAAAATGGAAAAGCATATAATGCTTCACAAGAGATTTCAGCCTCTTAGTTATTAAAGAACACTTCGAAAGGACCCATCAAGTGCTAAACAGGGAGAAATGAATTGAATTTTGTGGAGAAAACAAGGTTGGTTGTTGCAGGCGGAAATTATTTGATGCAAGTATATACAAATCTTTGCATTGGTTTCATAGGGAATCTGTGAAACAGCATAAAAACCAAGCCTTGATGGACCCTCTTTGGATCTATGCACCAGAACATGCTTCTATTATCGATAAGTGCTATGTCCTTTCGCTTTCGAAAGTTTTATTGAGATCAACTTTAGTTAGGTAGGATTAGCCACAAATTCTCCACTAATTGGTTCTATTATTCTCAGTGTTGTTTTAGGTTGTTAATCTTGGACATTTCATACACCTAAATTTTTTCTTTATGATGAAAACTCTGCTGTTACGTTTTTGTATGTTTTTAAACACTTTCAAATATGATAAAAAAATTCAAAATAAAAGATACTTACAATTTTTGTAGACTCTCTAGATTTTTCTTTGGGACCTCTTCCAGCAATGCTCAGGGTTTCCTTGCAAGTAGATTCAGTGTTCTCTAGCTCAATCATCTCTACTACCTCTGATTGTGTGACTAAACATAGAAGAAAATTATGAGCAGGAGAAAAAAAGGAATCAGCAAGAAAGAAAACCCAAAAAGATAGATACATATGCTTTGCATGAAAAACCTTTTAGTAATCTTTATGATTAATTATTCTCCTCTAGTGATGGATTTAGACTTCTTGTCCAATTTCCCCCTTGTTCCATTCCATCACATATTTTATTCGGTATTTATTCTTACTTTATCCCCTCCACTATTAATGCTTTAATATGGTATCTGGAACATAAATGGCTTTTGAGGGACTAGGAGAGTAAAACAAAAGTGAAGAGAAACCGAAAAGTGAGGGACAATAATGATTTAATAACAAAATTTTCATTCATAAGCATACAAAATTTGCAATTGTTTCATAGACAACATAAATATATACACATAAAACTAGAAATTAGTAATGCTCCATAAGAGTATCTAATATTTATTAAATTTGTTTAATTACACGTCAAACAACAATTAATCATAATTAGTTTTTCATTATAATAAGAAATATGCAGTCATATATATTATAAACTATATAAAAAATATTATACACTACACAGAAATATTTGAAAAAAAAAAGTGTGCCGTAAGACCATGGACTAAAATGGCCTGAGTATACGCAGCCCTTAGAATAACATTCTATCTACCAAAAACCTAAACCCAAAAGATAGATGCACATAGGTGACTCAGAACTTTTGAATTATCATATAGAAAATAAATACAAAAGATTCCTCACCAGATTCGTAATTTGGTCATATCAGTAGCTAATGTGATACTTCAACCACGGTTATAATGAGTTACCTGACTTTTCTCTAAACTGATTTTCATTGTCTGAATGTGACTCCATGGTCTCATGCAATGTTGCATCTGATTTTGGCACTTCTTTATTACCTTTGTATTTGACCTGCACAATATAATGTATTGAAAGTTTGAAAATTTGAAAATTAAACTAAATAATAATAATAAATGTTAAATATGTTTTTGGTTCCTTAATAGTAAAAATTAGAATTAGTTTTTCTATAAAACTTTGGACCAATTTAGTCCTCATCTTTAGAATTAGGTGGATTTAGTCTTTTTAACTAAATTTTGTTTAAGTTTATGTTACGTCTCAAATGTATTTCTCAGCTAGCATTGAAGCGGAAATATGTCAAATAGGGTAAGGAATTTAAATGTTATCATGAAACGCGTTTGAAACTTAACAATGCAAATAAACCTAACAAAATTTACTTAAAAGGACTAAATTCACGCATTTATAAAATTGGGAGACTAAATTGGGTTAAAGTTTTGAAGAGGGATTAATTTCAATCTTCACTTAAAGTTAAGAGACAAAAAACATCTTTAACCCTAATAATTATAAAATGTAATTTCCTATTTTATATTTTTTACAGTTCTAGTAAGATGGAGGGACAACTTTGTTAATGAAATATAAAACTCTTGACTTACCACACTTGTTCCAGAATTAGTTTTGGTTTCCTTGTGAGTAGATTTACCATTTTCAGCTGAAACTGGTTTAACAATCTCTGAGTCTGACTCTGCATTTGAAGACAAGTAGTTTGAGATAACTTCATACTTGAATTGTCTTTGAAATCAGATGGATTGACGCTCCTTTCAACCCAAAACAATGTTTTAGATTTATAAATATTCTTTCTTGCATGTATTCAATATTTCCTTTTTACTTAATATAAAAATTAGATTCACACTTGAATTTCAACAGAAAAAACTAAACTCAAAATATAAATATTTGTCATGTAGATGTGTGAATGGACATGGCATAAATTAGTTGTATGGTTTAACAATTGGTATGCTTGCATAGAACTACTCACTTGACTTTTCTTTAGATTCATGTTCTTTGTCTAACTCCGATTCAACAGTTTCAGGCAATGTTGCATCTTGTTTGATTGACGTTTCTCTATTTCCTTCATATTTGACCTGCACAAACTAATAATTTACTATTGACATAATAGAAAATCAAAATAATCATAAAATGTAAGTTTAGATTTTGTATCTTTTGACATTTCTAGTAAATGGAGGGCAAAGTTTGTGAAATCTTGTCGACATATAAGAATTCTTGACTAACCGCATCAGTAGATTTTGTAGTATTCTGCCCATAATCTGTGCCAGAATCAGTTTTGGCTTCCTTGTGAGTAGAATTGATAATCTCTTCCAAAGCAGAAAAATGGTTTTTCCTCTCATCGGATTGTTCAATTGATGTTAAGGTTATCCTTTGTCCTGTAATCAACTCCACTCTATTCACTAAGTCCTTCTTCTTATCCGAGTGCCAGTCCAACTCTTCTAAAACACTCGGCAGTTCTGAAACACTTATAAGGCCAACACCACACTCTTTAATAAACATAGAGCCATCAACTTCCCCCTTATCATTTCTAACACAGAACTCAAAAGAAACACTTGGCTCATTATATTTGAGAATGCCATCACTGTGGAATGGATCATACCATATATAAACATGATCGGTGTTCAAGCCCTCGATATCACTATATACCCATGATTCCCTCGTATTTTGTCTCAAGTGGCGTTTACATATAATCTTGGTGTCATGCTTCTTCATTTCACCAGATGGAGAAAGAACAACAGAGTAAATGAAGCCCCTCAAGTTGGAAAGTTTGGGAAGGTCAATGGTAATGAAGGACTCGGTGCTCCGATATTTAATCTCTTGTGGGACCTTTCTTCCTGGCAAACAAAGCTCAACACTGTTATAACTGTAGTCGCGGACGTCACAGGATTTTCTCACCAGGTTGTCAAATGCAGAACACACCATTATTAACTTTACGCTCTTCATTATAAGTCTGCATGAATGTTCATCCAATTTCAAGCAGTTCTTGAATGTAATGAATCTGGTACTTCCCCGCATCACATTTGCCAAATTGACTAAGTCTGACACTGACACCAGTGAAGTGCAGTTAATGACACCTAAGTAACCGATGCTGGATGGAAGCTTTTGAAGATGCATCAACAAGTCACAATTCTCCACGGACAAAATTCTCAAGTTTTCGGAATTCTTAATGAATTCAGGCAACGTTGTCCCATCGTATTGATCTAACTTTAGCACGTACGAATGTTTGAGGTGGTGGCTCACCGTAGTCTTGACAAGTTCCAACCAACGACGAAGGGATCTTGGAAACTCCTCTAAATTGAGGCTCTTGAGTTTTCCCATTCGCCTTACTGGTGCATTGCTCACATTCAATATTTTAATTAAATCTAATGACACTGCAAATTCCTCCAGACTTAAGCAGCCATTGACACTGATCTTCTCTAGAGATTTTAAACGCTTTTCACCTTTAACACTCTCGAGTTTTGTACACCCATTCAGTATCAAAGTAACAAGCGTGGCCGAGGATAAAACAGACGGGTGAAGATACCGCAAACTTTCACAACATGAGAGATTCACCCATTTAAGTCTTGGCGCCTTAGACAAATCTGGAAGCTCTTCAAACTGTTTGCATCCACTTAGGTCAATTCCCTCTAAGTTATCTAGTTCCTGTGAACATTCAAAAGGTGGTGGCATCACAAAGGAAAATCCTCAAAAAAATTTAAAAATGTGTACATACATATCATTCTTTAGTTACCTGGATTCCCTGCCAAAGTTGTTTAACTTTGCCATGTTGCATGTGAATCTCAACAAGAAACTTTGCACAAAAAGGTGATGGAAGACACTCAAAAGGGTATCCAATCCACTCAGTGTACCTTAGTTTATCAGAAAACGGCTCAAGAGTTGCAGGAAGGTCGAGGTATGTATTCCAAGAACTCTGACCAGAGGAGTTATAGAATCTCAGAAATCTTAAGGCTTTCATCTTCGTCAATGTGTCAGAACGCAAACGTAAATTTTTAACTTGAGACAAATCCAGTTCTATTCCTTGAATTGCTTCAGTTCCCTGACAAACACCAAAGAAGTAAAGTGTATCAAATTATCTGCAACTTTCTGTCTTATAAAAAGTCAGCAGATTATTGATTTACCTTGTTTTCTTCAATCACTTCACGAGCTTCATTATCCTTCAAGCGACTACGTCTGCCAGGATCTGCTCTACATTCTTGACGTACAATCTCCAAACCCATTTGTTGCAGCAAGTCGTGCATTTGTATTATATTTGTGTATGAAATTGTTAACAAAGATTTGTCTGCGAGAACTTCTATTCCACTAGTTGCTTCAAAACCACAGGCATCTAGTATCCGTGTGGCATGATCTTCCTGTTTTTCTCTAAAGAAAAATACAATGTCTAGAAAAATATTTTTTTCTAGATCATGCAATCCAGTGTAGCTCATTTCCAACACTTTCTGAATTCTCTCGTTAGGATACAAGCTGAGTTTTCTTATAGTACTTTCCCAAAAACTGATACCTTTTGAACGAAGATATGAACCCAAAACTTTAAGGGCAAATGGAACGCCACCAGCATATTCAACTGCACTTTCTGAGAGACTCTCATAACCTCCTTCGGGATAACTTTTCTTAAAGGATTCTGAGCAAAAAAGCTTCAGAGATTCTGTTTTCTTCCATTTCTGAACCTCGTATATCGCATCAACCCTTCCAACAAGCAATTGCCTATCTCTTGTTGTTATAACGAGTTTACTATCACTATGCTGGCCTTCATACACCCCACATAAATACTCCAATGGCTCAAAACTATCCATGTCAACATCATCAAGTACAATGAAAACCTTTTTACTTCTGAGTCTCCTCATATGAAACGATGACCCTACGACATTTTTTGCGGAAACCTCCTCCTTCAATATGGTAGAGAAAAGCTTGTCTAGCGAATATTCTTTTGCATTGGTCACAAAGCAGACATGGTCATATTGGGGAAAGTGTTTAGCAAACAAGATTTTAGCAATGGTGGACTTGCCAATTCCACCCATACCCCAAATTCCAATGACCCTACATGATTTTAGTAATAATTCTACATTTCTGCAATTTTCTTCATTTTCAACAGGGCCCTTTAATTCAGTAGGGCATCGCAGATGAAGCTTTTGCAATACATCATTGACAACATTCTCAATGACATGAGCTTCGTCCCTAACAAAGATATGAAACAAATCACTAAAGGGGAATATTAACGACATGTTTTGAATCTAACGAGTGAAAGTGAATATGTAAAACACTGAAAGTTTACAGCAATCACTCGTGCAAGGTAGACATTATAATATTTTCCAGACTCTTCAAAGAAGATGGTATAATGTATAACAGATTAAGGTTGTGAAAACAATTAAAGAATTTAGAGTAGATTCTCAAGAGGAAAAAGGGGTGTTCAATGAAATTCAAGAAAAGGATAGAAAAAAAAAACGTATAATTTACTAAAAAAATGTACCCTGTCAATCAATCAAAGATTACAACTAGTCAGTGTAACTTTTAAGTAACTATATATTAAAACTCTACAAAAAAAAAAAACATGAAACATCTTCAAAAGTTCTGTTCAAGTACAAACTTGGGAATAACAAAAATTGGAAAAGTGGAAGAGAAAAACAAGACATTATAGCGTATGAACTTGAGAAAGAAGTGGAAGAGGTGAAACCATAGAGAAAGCTAATTGCTTACCTATGTGTCCTAGAGTCCCATCCAGATATATTGGCTGCTTCAGTGAGAGAAGCTTTCCACTTTGGCCCTTTCTCTTCATCGGATTCCAACAGTTCTGCCAATGCCTTCTCGTAAGTACCCTTCTGATTCCTTATGTCTGATGGATCTATGTTGTAAAAGACAGGTATAACTACCAAACCCAGTTCTTTTCTGCATTCAAGAATTTTCACCAGCTCTTCCAGACACCATTTGGAACAAGCATAGTTTTCAGAGAAAACAACAATTGAGACATGTGAGTCCCGAATTGCTTTGGCAAGTGCCGGCCAGACACTTTCTCCTCTGTCTAGCTGGCGATCTATGTAAGCTCCGATTGATTTATCTTCGAGAGCTTTGTAAAGATGGCTAGTGAAGTTGGTTCGTGTGTCCTCCCCTCTGAAGCTCACGAACACGTCGTGCTTTTTCGTGGAGTAACTCATCTCGCCACTGCCAATGCAAGCAAGGAACAATCCCGATCAAGCTCTTCTTTTATTTGATTTTCATTCGTTGACTTGGTAACGCTCCAACATGTTAAGTCAGCACACGTTCCACCATTCTACCTTAAAAGGAAGTATTCTACCTGTTTTCTTCCTCCTTTTTTCCGGAAGTATTCAATATTATATTATGGGTTTAATACATTTGATCTCTGTTCGTGGAGTTTTTTTCAAAGTCGTCCTACGTTTTTTAAAAGATCACTTAGGTCCTATTTTTCGTTAAAAAATGTTTAAAATGATCTTTTTAGCTTACGGCGTAGTCTTTTTAGCTTACGGCGTGCCACCGTGGCTAAAATTAGATGACCTAGGCACTTATTGATTGCGTGGCAATGTGAAGTGAATTGACTTGGTGGAAATGTTTAAAGTTTAAGTTATTGGGTAAAAGAAAAGGGTTAGGGTTGGTGAGGGTTCGTGCAACTTCTTCTCTTTTTTGAGCAAAGTAGTTGTGGGTAGATAGAAATAGCTTCTTCCGAAGGTTGTTCTTTTTGTTCCAATACATGGCCGGAAAGAATTTCGCATTCCTCACACGATGGTGGTTGAAGGGGAGGTGGGATAATCCCTCGTTGCAAATGTGACAATTTTGTTGTAAGCAAAGTGGCCAAAACTCCACAGAATGTTGGCAGACAATTTTGGGATGTCGTCATTACAAAGTTTTATGAATACCCTTCTCACTTAATTTGGAATTTATTTGTTCATAGATTGCTGAGTTTGAATCAATTTTGGTGGCTTATTTGGTGAATAATAGGGTGGATCTTCAAGAGAGATGTACTGTAACTTTTTCAAGTGGTGTAATGAAGAAAAGATTGACGAAAGAGATGGTGAAATTGTCAGAGAAAGGATAAAATTGTTAGTTGGAGTTGTGTGTGTTGTTATTGCAGTGAACATTGTGACAATGTGGGTCTGTTTAGGTTTATGTTCGTAGGTGGGTCAATGTTTACATTAAGGTCTAAGTCAATGTTTATATTCATGTAATGTGAAGGTGAAGCTCAATGTTTACGTTTAGGTGTAGGTGTTCACGTAATGTGAAGGTGAAGCTAAATGTTTACATTCAAGTGTTTATATGTAATGTTAAATTTAGTTTTCCCTTTGGTAAAAAAATGTGCAACGTGTCCCCTTTTCAATTTAAAACTGTGTACTTTGGTCCCAAATGAAATTCAACGAAAAACACATGAAAGAAAACTGGCTCAGTTTCTACCATTAGTTTCCACCTCCAGTCCACCATCTTTGTCCACCTCCACTCTAACATTAGTTTCCACCTCCAATCCACCATCTATGTCCACCTCCATGATAAGTGTGAAAAAGAGTTGTTTTTACACTTATAAATGATCTCAATCTTATAATTATTCATGTTATTACTCAGTGAAAAGTTGTAATAGGAAGTAGATTGTTATGTAAATAATTGTACAAGAAAGGGTGTATAGTTTGGAGTCTGTCAGCCAATTCTCGCATAACGCAAGCCAAAATTCGCACAGCTAAAAAAAGTAAATTCGCATAGCACACCAGTACCTGTGCGCTGAGCGAATAACATCAGTTGAAGTGCAGCAGTTAAAGAAAATTCGCACGGCGCACACACACATGTGCGCTGAGCGAATTAATTAAGTTAAGTGGCTTAAAAAGACGTGACAGAAAGGCAGAAACTATCTTCTGACACGAAAAAGCGAGAAAAATACTGGAGACACTCAGGAAACCTTTCAAGACATCAAGACTTCACTTTTTGTAAGGAATTGCTGAAAAGTGTACGTTTGAGATGTCTAAGATAGGCTAATCATTCTGTTCATTGGAATTGGTTGTATGACGATACATTAATGTAAATTTCCTGTGCAATATATGTTTCTGTTCTTGTTCTTTTCTTAACTTGCTTTTGATTATATGGAAGTATAATTCTCTTTAAAAGTTCTTTTGTACTTGGAAGTATTTTTAGAACAGAAACGTAAGAAAAAAAATAAAAGTGACTACGCTAGAAATAGCTTTTGTGTTTTTGGTCATTCTTAACATCTGAATTTAATGCAAAATTATCTATTGAATTAATTAAGGAATTAATAATTTAATAGATAATTTTAGAACTTGTTTTAAGGAATTAAACCAAGATACTCTTATGTGAATGCTTGAAAAAAAAATATATGTTGTACAGGATTTTACTATAATGTTAGTCAAAGACCAATTCCAGTGATCTTTTATCATATTTTTCAATCTTAAATTTTTTATGTTGTTAATTTCATGTTAATTTTCAAATTGAAATCACAAATGTTATCATTAGTAATTGATTTTGATAAATAATTTTAATTGAATAACGTGACTCAAATTCCCTTGGGAGAACGATACTCTTAACTTAATTCACTGTATTACTTGAACGATTTGGTATACTTGCCAAAAAGTTATCAAGTTTTTGGCGTCGTTGCCGGGGAATTTGATTGTTATTGTTATTTCAATTATTCATTGTTTATCAATTTCAATTCTGTTCCATTATCTGTAAATCCATTGTTTTTTATTTTTGTATATCTGTATATATACGTTGTGTTTTGTTCTGTTGTTATTTCTTTGGGTTGATCACTTGAGATTGTTGTTCTGCATGAGAAGTAGAACAAAATATGAGAATTTATTGTTTGATTCTGAGATTGAGAGAACAGACCGTAGGAATAACAGTAGACGTAGGAGAGAAAATAAAAGAAAAGAAGCTAGAGAAGCTAGCTTGTCTGCTACTTCCAACACTTTTTCTTCATCTGATCAAGAGGATAAGGACATGGAGGGAAATCATGATGATGAACAACCAAGAGTTAGGAGTACGTTGGAAGATTATGCTTGTGTCTGTACCTTCCTCTTTCAACAGTATAGCCCGACCTGTGGTGAATACGGCTAATATGGAAATGAAGCCAGCACTGATTCACCTTGTTCAAAGTAATCAGTTTACAGGACTGTCACACGAAAATCCCTACAATCATCTGACAACTTTTAATGAGATGTGTAACACTGTAAAAATTTTACATGTGCCAGATGAAGAAATCAAACTGAGTCTCTTTCCCTTCTCATTGGCGGGAAATGCCAAGCTTTGGCTAAATTCTTTTCCTGAGGGAAGTCTGACTGTTTGGGATGACGTTGTGGCAAAGTTTTTGCATAAATACTTCCCCCAATCCAAGATAAATAAAGGCAAACAGGAAATATCCTCCTTTCAACAAGAGCCTGAAGAGTCGTTGAGTCAAACATGGGATAGGTTCAAGGGGTTGTTGAGAAAAACTCCAATTCATGGGTTTGACGTTCACACTCAATTAAACCTTTTCTTAGGAGGTTTAAAATCTCACACAAAGCTTATGCTAGATAAAAATCAAGTGAAGAGTAGGAAGAGAAAGAAGAGAAAGTTGAGGAAGAAGAAGATAAAAAGAAGGAAGTGGAAGAGAGTCATAAAGGAAAGCAAGTTTTGAATCCTTTACCGTATCCAAAGACTTATTCTAGAAAGGAAAAGGAAAGTCAATTTTCTAGATTTATGGCTCTCTTTAAAAAGCTGGAAATCACAATTTCCTTTTCAGAAGCACTTCAACAAATGCCCTCTTATGATAGATTTATGAAAGATTTGTTGACAAAGAAGAGAAAGTATATTGAGGAAGAAACAATTAAGGTGCAAGGGAATTGTAGTGCCCTCATCCAAAAACTTCTACCACCAAAATTTAAAGATCCTGGTAGTTTTACTATTCCTTGCACAATTGGAAAACTCCCCATTGGAAAAGCATTGATAGACTTATGTGCAAGTATCTATTTGATGTTATTGTCCATGTTAAAGAAAATAGGGGACATGGAATTAAAACCAACAAGGATGACACTCCAACTAGCAGACAGGTCTGTCAAGTACCCATATGGAGTTATTGAAGATGTTTTAGTGAAGGTTGACAAATTCACTTTTACAGTGGATTTTGTTATTCTAGATATGGAGGAGGATACTGAAGTCCCACTTATACTTGGTAGACCTTTTATGAAAACTGGTAGGGTGATAATTGATGTTGATGATGGTCATCTAAAGGTGAGGTTACATGATGAAACAGTTACCTTTAATATAGTGGAAGCTATGCAACACCCCAAAGATAGAGGAAACTGTTTCAGAGTTGAAGTCCCACGTATTGCAAAAATTTTACACGACATTCAGTTTTGGCCATGAAGACAACTGCACCGTTATGTTTTTAACGCTGTAAGCCAAAAGGACCATTTTGAACATTTTTTAACGAAATATGAGTCATAACTGAACTTTTTTAAAACGTAGGACGACTTTGAAAAAAACTCCAAAACTAGGGACCAAATGATGTATTAAACTTATATTATGTCGATCCATGTAAGTTTGTGTTAAACTGTCATTGGTTAAATAGAAATGGGAGAGATTAATAAAGTTGTGATAATTTCTAAATTTAAAGTATTCAAAACTACTAAATTAAGTTTTTATTGTCTAAATATTATATATGTAGAAAGTTTTCTTTTACGAGTTTCTTTCCTTGACTTAGTGTCACAAATTTCACAATAAAATGATACAAAAGAAGAATAAAATCATATAATCACTAACTTTGAAGCACTTAACTAAAACTAATTTAGATCACAAATTTAGTTACCTAAATCACATTTTACCCCTAAAATAAATGGATAAATTTACATTTGTATTTGTGTTTCAGATTGAAGCTTGGATTAGTCATAAAATTGATTATATATTTAAAATGCAATTCTTTGATAGGTTTGTTTATATTATAGTATTTGGTTTATACCAAAAAGCAGGGAACATTTTGTCTTTTTTTTTTTGAAAAATTCATATTCTTTAAATTGTTGTTTAACTTATATGTACCATTATAGATAGTAAGTCTCTTATACTTAATTTGTAATTTATGAACGAGTCTTGATTTCTTGATATATATTAATGTAGTATTGATCGTTTTGCATTTTGTTAAATTTTAAATTGTAGAACTAGATAGTTTGTAAATATTTATTCTTCTTTACTTGATTAATGCATATACATCAAGTCGAATATTAAATTTTCATAAAACTTCAATTGACCTTATTTTATTTTGTTCTTCAAGTGTCTA